TTTCCATATCTCGTCTAGTCAGCTGTTTGCTCTTTGCAAATCTCTGTGGCAGGCAAAGAATGCGCTGACGCTCTGAGATCCTTTCTTCAATATCTTGAAGACGGTTCTGTATTGCTTCAGGAGTTGCCCTCAGTTTTGTCCTCTGAAACCAGACAAAAGAAAGGGTATGTATCATACAGGACACACCCTAAAGGTGATGCTCTGATGTCTCAAGCAAGGAAGATGATGATCTGGACTAGAAATGAACATTTATAAAAAGTGTTAGCTAAGAAGTCAAGGCACTGAGGACAATAGGTGTCATGGTGGTTAAGGCACTGGACTTCCAAATGGCTGACCACAGTTTGAGTCCTGGACCTAGCAGCTTGAAAATCATACCAAGTGTGTATGTGTGCATGCCCATAATCCTGAGAGAGAATGGAGGAGAGAGGATTATGGCATGGCCACCGCCCCCATGGAGTGATTTTTCACTTTTGCTCTCTCTGGTGAGTGCAAATATCTTATGATTAAAACCTAAAAAAGAAAAAGAAAACAAGTAGTCAAGGAACAGCTTTTATTTCACTCAATCCTAAAATCCAAAGAAGACATGCTAACAAAGTTCAGCTTTGTGAGAAGAGTGAAAGGTTCTCAATGCTGAAATTAAGAGATCCTGTCCTTTACTTTCCAAAACAAACAAAAAACAAATGACTGAAAAATATTGCCAACTTACCTTTTCACCTGAAACATGGCTCTTCCAGATCAAGATTTCTGTTTCATTGAGCCCTAGTTCCCTGAGAGAAGCAGTTTCTTGGTCTTTTTCATGTAGCGACTGGAATTGGGATAAAGTCATGGTACCAGCTGCTTCCTTCCCAAAGGGCTTATACATAGTACCAGGAGCAAAACTCTCTTTCTTAGACATACATCTGCAAAACAAGCAGTTAGAGTAAGAACATCTTAAGATTACCACAATTCATGGATGTGTGGGATCGCCATTGTAGGGAGTGGCTGGATCTGACCATGCAGGTCATGGTACACCAATATAAGAGGCACAATGAAACTCATCAGCAGTTCCCCTCTCACATCCTATTTCTAGGGTGAAGCACTAATGCAACAAAACAGCTCCATCATCTAAGACTAATAAATGACTGAACTGACAAATACTTGTTGACCTATTATGCATCAGGCACTGTGCTAGTTAAGTTACTAAGGATTTAAAAGTACAAAAAGATTAAAAAAAATGACCCCTGCTTTTATGGAAGAAAGGCACGTGAATAGGCAATGATAATGATGGGTCATAAGTGCTATGTCAGGGGAAATACAGAGTGCTGTAGAAAGATACAGGAAAGATATTTGGTTCAGACTTAATAAGATATGGGAGGCTTCCTAGAGGGAAACACACAGAAACAAAACTCTGCCTAATAAGTAGAAGTTTGCCCCAAGAAGTGGGTGGGAGAAGACTGTGCTCCATCCAGGCTTTAAGATAAGGAGTCTGTCACCTGGAAATGAGGGTCTCTAAGGATCTACCTGTTTGCAAAATTAATACCTACTCCTCGATGGAGACAGAAGTATCAAGTTGATGTTGAAGGAGGCTTTTCAGCTGCCTCTCCCCTTCTGTTTCCAGCTCCTCCAGAACATGCTCCTCACTCTTCACACAGCTGTTTACCCTGGAGTAGACAGTTGTAAGTAAGTATATACACAGAGAGTATAAGAGGCAATGAGTCTCAAAATACATTTCTTATGTATATTATCTGCCATTAGTGACTCCATGTTTTCAAAGACACTTTAACAATTTATTGTTCTTTATCATTCATTCTACAAATGCTTACTAAATAGATATTTACAGAGTTAGGTACCAATGGAAGTCAAAGATAACCAAGGCATGGTCTTTAAACTCATGAAGCTTCCAATCTGTTTAGGGAGAAGAAACATGTTTGTGTTTGGGTGTGTGTGTGTGTGGTGTGCATGTTCTTGTGGGGAAGGAGAATATGAATGGATAATGAAATAGAGAAACATGCTAAATAAGTATAACTTTCACAGAAGAAAGAGATAATTGGGAGCAAGAGTGATGAAGGAAGATTTAGAAAGATACTCTTGTTTTTAATTGGCAGAGGTTGCACACATTCACCAGAGAGAGACAGAGAAAGAGAGAGGGAGAGGAAAGAAATATGGTCATAGTACAGTCCTTTTTCCTTCATTTCTCCATCCTGATAGGATTTTCAGCATGCATGCATATGCACTTGGCATGTTTTTCAAGCTGCTGGAGCTGAATGACAGTCAGCCATGTAGGATGTGGCTCCCTTAACCACTAGGGTATGGCTACCTGTCCCATAAAAGTATTCTTAAACGGGCATTTGAAGGACTGAGTGGATGAATGAAAGGAGAACAAGGAGAGCAAGTCTGAATAGACAGAAATGTGTACTGCGGAGTATTGAGAAGTTCCATTTAGCTGACATTCATGTCTGGTGTAAAGGGAGATGATTCTGGGGAGTCAGTATAAATTGGGTCATAACATTTTATAGCCTAGACACTATTGTGTAGAAATCTAGGTAACAGCTAGCATGAGTCAAATGACCCTAAATAAAATTGAAAACTATTATTAAAATGTAAATAAACAAGACCACTTGGGGCCAGCAGATGGCATGGTGGTCAAGGCACTGCACTCTTACATGACCAACCATGGTTTGAGTCTTGGACCTGGTGGCTTGAAACATGCCAGGTATGTGTGTGTGTGTGTGTGTGTGCCCAAAATCCCGAGAAGAGAATGGAGAAGGCGTTGCAGTGTGGCCGTCGCCCCTGGGGAGTGTTTTCTTATTTTCCCTCTCTCTATCTCTGTCTGTCTCTCTCTGGCAAGTACATACACCCAATGGCAAAAACCTAAAATAAATAAATCAATAAATGAAATAAGACCATGTAAGCATGCAACAATAGATGATAAAAAATAAACACACAAAAATGAGTTATCCAATGAAGAAACAAATATTAAATACCTTCCTTATAAAATAGATCTTTCCAGGACCAGCAGTTAGCATAATGGCTATGTCGCTGGACTCCCACGTAGTTGACCGCGGTTTGAGTCCCGGACCCGGTGGCTTAAAGCTCACACTGGGCACGTGTGTGTGCATGCCCAAGATCCCGAGAGGAGAATGGAGAAGGGATTGCAGCGTGGCCATCCCCCCCGGGGGTGATTTCTCGCTTTCTGTCTCTCTCTCTCTCTGTCTGGCGAGCGCATGTGCCCTATAGCAAAAACCTCTCCAAAAAAAAAAAAAAAATAGATCTTTCCTAGGGGGGTTATGATAAGGCCTAACAAACTAACCCCCATAATTATAAGCAAGCTATTCATGTTCTAGAAAAAGTTGGTGCTATTTCAAGAAATTTCAAAACATCTTTAGGTCCAAGGTTTTTAAAAATTCTGTTTAAGTGTCTTAGTCTTATTTATCATTTAAAAATCCCAAAATTTCTAAGTTTAAAGTTTATTTCAAATAAAGCATAAAAAAATACATCAATATACATGAATCTACTGTTAAAAAAAAAAGTTGAGTTAAAAAGAAGCAAGCCACAGAAAAATTCACACAATATGTATGAGTTTGTATAAAGTTGGAAAATGGACAAAACTAGAAACATATTGTTAGGATAAATTCCTATGTGCTAAAAACTCTTTTTTTATATTAACATTTTAATTTTAATTTATTTTATACTTCAATCACTAAACAACATTTAACATGTAAAGTGAATTTACCCAACATGAAATATACACTTCACACCAATCTAGTTGAGGATACTATAAACATTATCATCAACAGGTAATAAACCATTTCTGTATCCCACAAATATCTTGCCTCTCTATTTTTCTCTCTAATTTCCCTCCTTAGGCTTTCTAAAAACTCTTTAAAATTCAAAGCAGCAAATGAATGATTAACACAAAATTCTGGATAGTGGTCACCTCAGGGTGAATGAAGCAAGGGAGGAGAAGAAAGAACCAGGGAGGAGACACAGGGGACTTCTAAAGTACTGTTGATATTCGATTTCTTAAGTTTGTAGTGGATGTCTGCTTTTATTATTAGTGTTTGAACTGTATATATAAACGATATACATTAGTTTGCATTATGAGATATAAAAACTTTAAAGTTTATTTTCAGACAGGGAAAGTAAAATTTTTTTTTTTAAGATGGAACTGGTAGTGAGGAGAGCATGTCAATTAAATATTTTAAATGTCCTGCACTATTCCAGAGTGATGACTCCATTTGCAGAGAGAGTACAAAACTTATTTAATGAGAATCCTTTAAATTTCTGTACTGTCAATAATTGTGTGGCCCCCGCTCTTAACACCGACCACTTGGGCTCAAGCAGCCATTTGGTGTAGAACCAGTAGGGGGATCCGCTCTTAGCAATGCCTTTCTTTTCGTATAATAATGTATATCGAACTGGTTTGTGCCTTTCCTTTACATTGGCAGAAATGAAGTATCACTTTCCTACTTTAAGATTGAAAAGCGCCATATGGTATTCAGGCATAAGCACGTCTTCGTTAATACACAGCCATTGCAAATAAATGCACCCACCCTGCGTGCACCCCTTCTGAGATGAGATGGAGGTAGGGTGGGACTGGGAAGAGCTGCCGTGGGCATCTTCGGAGCTGGAAATCTGTCCGCTAAGATCCTTCTGCCTGGGTGGGTCCGTCTGGAACAGGAAGAAGCCGCAGCACCCAGCCAGCTCCTGGGGCCTGTGCCGGGAGGGCATTCCGACGGAAACCTGCCCCAGCTGCGGCCGGTCCTGAACTTCGCCCTACAGGCCTGGTTAGTCCATCTCCCCCGCTCCCTTTTCCTTTGTCTCCCGCGCACACGCGAAACCTCATCCCAAAACGTGACATACCCCTTACAGAAAGAAATAAAAGTCATTTTCAAGTACAAAGAACAGAGATCCCCTGGCCGCCTGTTCCTCAGACGAGTGCTTACCTCTTCATGTTTCCACAGGCCCTTATATTTAACTTGGAGAAATAGGCTTCGGACCTCAAGTCCCAGAACTCTGCGCGGCAGACTCTAAGATGATTGTGGTGGAGCGTGGGACTCTGGGAATTGTAGTTGCAGAGAGATTGAGGCACGGAAAGAGAAAGTAGGTATTGAATGACCAATGTATTGTAAAATGGTCGAAGTATTTCTCCTGAATTTTCTGTTCAGGTTAGAGACAACGCCCACAATATCAAGCTCATAAACATGGGAGTCACCTGTGACAGCCAAGGGGAACCAAATGAGATATGATTCTGGATGGGATTCTAGAACAAAAAAGGGCACAAGGTAAAGATTAAGGAAATGTGAATAAACTATGCTCTACACTTAATAAGGTTCATTAGAGGAGACAAATGTGCCAGAGTTACGTAAGATGTTAAAACTAAGGGAAACTGTGTGGAGGCATGTGAAATACTGCACTATGCAACTTTTCTGGAAATCTAAAACTGTTTTAAATAAAAAGTTTATTTCTAAAAAGTGTACTAAAATGACTTTTTGTCTACCAGATTGGAAAAGTTTGATAATACAATTGTTCTATTGAAATTGTGGGGAAATAGGCATTCTCAATACATTGCTTAGTAAAAATATGTATCATTTCTATACTTTGGGAGGGCAACTTGAAGATACTGAGATTATAAATGTACATTTCCTGTAAAGCAGGAATCCAACACCTATAAATAGTATCCTCAACACTGTATATCCTCAAGTATGTATGTATTATTTATTCATTGTTCTTCATTGTTTATAATAATGAAAACAATTCAAATATTCAAAAACATGATACATTCACTCAGTGAGAAACTATGCAACTACAAAGATGACAAAGTTCTATATGGACTGCTATTGAACAATCCCTAAAATATAATTAGTGCAGTAACGAGATGCAGAACATGTATAGTATGCTTGCATTTGTGTAAACAGTGAAAATATAGTGTATGCTTGTATGGGCAGAAAATCTCTGGGAGAATGCACAGGAAAATATTAAGTGAATTATTCTAGGTGGGGGAACTAGATAGCTAGGGAACAAGGGCAGGAACAACTCTTCACTGATATCTTTTGCTGCCCTTTGAATTTTGAACAACATGGCTATATTACCTAGTTAATTCTTTTTTAATGAAAAAGAACCCTTTTTAAATCATAAGATTCCAAAGAAGAAAAAAAAAAAATCATGGGTTTGGGGAATGGAGGCCACACTGCTTGGACTTGAATATTATTTCTCAGTTGATAAGATAGCAGTAGGGTTCCGGAGGCAGTCTGGTCTTGAACTTTTGCTTTGATAAGTTACCAGACTATATGAGTTTCAGTAAGTCTCTTTAACTAATCTAGGCCAGTTTCTTCACCTGTAAAACAGGAAAAAGACCTCAGAAGAACAGGGTGACTATAAAGCACTATACAAAGTATAGGTTTAAAGTCACTCCATGAGAGGATGGTAATCTATGAGTAAATATTTCAAAGTTATCCAGTAAGTTCAGATTTACTCAAACTGCTTTGGATCTCCACAATCAAGTTAAGAGCAAAAGACCAAAGAGCAGCTGCTAGCCTGGGCATCTCCAGAGCTGGGAAACTATCAGTCAAGATCTTTCTGACTGTGTGGGTCCATTTGAAACAGGAAGACTAGGTTGACTACAAATGACTATACTGTAGTCATTCACATGTGGCAGGTATACACACACACCCACATCAATTGTGTGTGTGTACATATATATATATGTATTACATTACATATAATACACATTATGTAATTATATTTCATATTATATATAATAGTACTATATATACATATACATACACATACACACCAGGTGTACACACTCTGTGTATATTATTATGTAATATAGTATAGTTATTATACATTATATACTATAGTATATATTAGGTTATCAGAAAAGTCATGACCTATTTTTCTATGCTTTTCTATGCATCATGACTTTTCTGACAAAGGCAGAAGCTCCTCCTTAACACAGACATACTTGATGGTTTGTCCCTTTTTAGATATTTTGTTCACAGCACACTTTTTTTTTTTGGAGAGGTTTTCGCTATAGGGCGCGTGCGTTCGCCAGAGAGAGACATAGAGACAGAAAGCGAGAAATCACCCCCCAGGGGGGATGGTCACGCCGCAAACAATCCCTTCTCCTCCATTCTCCTCTCGGGATCTTGGGCACGCACGCACACGTACCCGGCGTGAGTTGTAAGCCACCGGGTCCAGGACGTGAACCGCGGTCGACTACGTGGGAGTCCAGCGACATAGTCATTACGCTAACTGCTGGTTCCCTTCACAGCACACTCCTAATGAATACATTATGAAGCAATTATAATACCTAGATATGGAAAAAGACATTAAAACCAAAAACCTTTTGAATCTACTCATCATATATTATTACAAGTAAACAACTGTCCATGTCTTTCATATTTCCCAAATGAGATAGTATAAATGAAGTTATAGAGAATAAATACAGCATGTTTACAAAGGACAAAAAAAAAATGTGTGCGTTGGGAAAATGTCAACATTATAATTTTAAGAATTCTCTTCAAACTAATAGTGTACACAAGTTAAAAAAGGTTGAGAGGGATTCAAGATTCCAGGGCCTAACATTAAATGATGCCTTACCATTACTGGAAAAAATGGTTTATTTCTTACTTTTTAATTAAAATTTATTCAACAATGCCTTGTCTTTTAGACACATGTTAAAACCAGAGAAGGAATCTCAAAGATGATTTAGTCCTCAGCAAATAACTTTTCATTTTTGTGCCAATTAAACATGGAGTGGTGGCCTAGTGGCTTGAAATGCATGCCAGGTGCGTATGTATGCGCGTATTTATGTGTGTATGTTCCCAAAATCCTGAGAAGGGATTGTGGCATTAACTTCTCACTGGGGGATGATTTCTCACTTTCTCTCTCTCTCTCTCTCTCTCTCTCTAGAGAGCACAAATGCCCTATGGCAAAAACTTTTAAAAAAAAGAAAACCATGCCGTGTGTGTGTTTGTGTGTGTGTGTGTGTGTGTGTGTGTGTGTGCGCGCGCGCGCACGCGTGAGTGCCCAAAATCTCAAGAGAAGAATGGAGAACGTATTGTGTTGTGGCCAGTCCCACTGGTGGGGTGTGTGGGGGGGTGATTTTTCAATTTCTCTCTCTCTGTCTTTCTCCTCTCTGGCGACGTATTGTGTTGTGGCCAGTCCCACTGGTGGGGTGTGTGGGGGGGTGATTTTTCAATTTCTCTCTCTCTGTCTTTCTCCTCTCTGGCGAGTGCATGTGCCCTAAGACAAAAACTCAAAAAAAAAAAAAAAAAAGATTTAGTCTGAGGGCTAGCACGTGGCATTGGGATTAAGGTGTTGCATTCCCACATGGCCTTGCAGTTCAATTCCCAGGTCTAGTGGCTTGAAAATCATGCTGAGTACATGTGCATGCTTGCCTAAAATCCCAAGAGGAGAATGGAGGAGAAAGGATTGTGCCATGGCTCCCTCTCTTTCTGTCTCTCTCCAGCAAGTGCATGCCACCCTATGGCAAAACCCTAAAAAAATATTTTAGTCCATGGCTCTAAATTCCAGATGGTACCTTAAGATCCTCTAGTAAATCTTATAAATCTTATGGTTACTGGATTCATCTGGAATCCACTTGCCATCCTCGAGTATCTTCTATGTACTGAAAAAAGAACTTTCAGTTAAGGCAGTGTTAACTGTAAGATAGTGCAAGCAGTACTGTAGCCTCCTCTTTATTTAGGAAATTTACAGTAAGCACTCTACTAGTAGTGAAAAAGACATAAAGGAATTTCAAAACTTCAGATAAATGAAAACTAGGTTTTTTTTCCTCACAAAATGGGAAAACCCTAACATGGTTCAACCCTCATTTTATAGGAAAATGGTAATGCCCAGGATAAAATTACTCACCCAGTTAATTAAGCAGGCATAAAATTAGAACCAGTATTTCTTCTAATACATTATGTTCTTTTCATTGAATGTGGGTCTTAACTTAGACACAGGCTACTTTACAAGAGTTGAATCTCCAAAACAAACGGGAAAATGTCTTTATCAAGGGTATAATAATAATAACACTGAACTCAAAATCTAGATTGCTGGCTTTGTGGCACAGTGGTTAAGTGATGTGCACTAGTATTCAGATTCAGCAAAACCAACCATGGTTCAAATCTTGGCTCTGGCAGCTAGAAAAACATACTCTGTGTATGTGTGTGTGTGTGTGTATGTGTGTGTGCATGTGCCAAATTCTGAAAAGAAAAAGAAATGAAGGAAAGATTGTGGCATTAACGCACCACATCAGGGGAAGCTTTCTTTCCTTCTGGAGAGCACTCCTGCCCTATGACAATAAAAAACAAAACACAACGAAAACTAGAGATTATTTTAAAAACTAAAAATCTGTGTTTATCTACAGAGATTATCTACAAGATTAAATGGTCTCTGGATTATTCTCACGTTCTATAATTTTGAGTTATAACAAAAACTTACATAGTAAGAAGTTGTTTCTAGAAAAAAAATGGGTAGGATAAAAAGAGGCCATGTAAATTCTGGCATTTAGTCTACTCAAAAGATTAATTATCATTAATATCCATTTCAAGAATATTTTCATCCTGTAATGTGCATCCTCAGGATGGTCACGTGTAATTATTACAAGAGAAATTCAGCTTAGTAATTATAGACAACTAGCTCCAGTCACATCAAAACTTGTAAGTAGTTTATTTTGCTGTTACACTTTTATTATTTTAGAACATCACCTTTATTTGACTTGAGTAAAGCATGAAACACAAGAGAACAGACTTTTCCAAAGCTAAGAACAAGGCCTTAAAAAAACCGAATAAACAAACACTTGAAAACTAGCAACTATAAATCAAATGCTAAAACCAAATAAAACACCTGAATATCTCTACATTGAAAACAACTAAACAGAACCTTATCCGTTGAAAACAATCAAACTGAAGTCTCAAATGTACTATAACTTTCCCTCTTTTCTCTGAATTTCGACCATATACTTTCTGTTTTTCATAATACACTTTCTCATATTGTCTACGTTTTTTATACACAAGCAATCATCATATCTGAAACTAGACTGTAAGTTCCTTTGAAGAGAGAGACTTTACAGTATCTAACACTATACATTAAACGTAACAGGCACATAGCAAAGACAGGTTGGCATGTATTTTTTTGGCAAACATCTCTTCACAAGTCAGCTGGAGTGAGAAAGACAATGTTTGTTAGTGGTCAGATGTGAAATCTAAGAGGAAAAAATATAAATTACACAGAGTCAACCTCTAACAGGTTGCTGCCTGGATTAAGGGGCTTAAAGGAGTTTTAATTTGCTAATACTGAAAGCAAAACTACAGTATAATTCTCAGTGGTACAATATTTAAGTGGAAAACCAAACACACACACACATGCACACTTTTTGCAACCAAAGGTTAAATAGTAACTGTAAATACTAAAGGTTAAATAGTAACTCTAAATACGATATTTAACATCATCAAAAGTTGTAGGTAATGAATAATCCAAAATTAACATGCTGAAGATGTGGTCATTCAATCAAAAGCAATCTTGACTTTGCGTTCCTGCTCCTTGCGAAGACATTCCTCGAAAATCTGTGTTACCTCTTCTACCTTCCTTTGCAGCATGCCTATTGGGGAAGAAGTTGCACTATCATTAATATCCCAGGCATATAATAACTTACATTTTCCCTTCAGCAAATGATTTATTAAACTTTACATATCAATTTTAATAACTTTTTTAGAAAAAATAGGGAAAAATTTCATCTATCTATTTTGAAAATATGAATAGAGTGGACAAAACTGTTCTTCATCTGTTTTCCCTAGCATCTAAGCAAATAACAGTATCCTTGATGTTTATGTTTTGTTGGAGAGAAGTGTTAGCTTTTTTACTCATTATACCCTAAAAGTGCCACACAAAATGCTTATTACATTGAGAATATAGATGTGGTGAGTCCTTGCTAACTATAATCGAATAAATACATTGAGTACATTCACATTCTGTTCTTTCTTTCTTTTTTTTGGGGGGGAGAGGTTTTTGCTATAGGGCGCGTGCGTTCGACAGACAGAGACAGAGAGACAGAAAGGAGGAAATACCCCCCCGGGGGGGTGGCCACGCCGCAATCCCTTCTCCTCCATTCTCCTCTTGGGATCTTGGGCACGCACGCACACACGCCCGGCATGAGTTTAAGTCACCGGGTCCGGGACTCGAACCGCGGTCGACTACGTGGGAGTCCAGCGAAATAGCAATTATGCTAACTGCTGGTCCCTACATTCTGTTCTTTCTAATGATTTATTTAACTTGGTTGTTCTTAAATTTGCTCAGGGGCAAAGCACTGCAAAATACCATTAATTTTACCATAGAAAACAGTAAATTTCCACTTTTTTTTTTTTTGAGAGGTTTTTGCTATAGGACGCGTGTGCTCGCCAGACATACAGAGAGAGACAGAGAGACAGAAAGCAAGAAATCACCCCCCAGTGGGGATGGCCATGCCACAATCCCTTCTCCCCCATTCTCTTCTCGGGATCTTGGGCACGCACGCATACGCGCCCGGAGTGAGTTTAAGCCACTGCGTCCGGGACATGTACTGCAGTCGACTACGTGGGAGTCCAGCGACATAGCCATTACGCTAACTGCTGGTTCCCAAAAAGAAAAGTTTTATAAAACAAAAACTAAATGTATACAATATACTTTAATTTTCTTTAGTCAACTAGTGGTTGAGGCGCTGAGCTCTCACATGACTGATCATGGTTTGACCCCCCTAGACCCAATGGCTTGAAAATCACACTGGGCACACATGTGTGTGTGTGCCCAAAATCCCAAGAGGAGAATGGAGAAGGGATTGCGGTATGGCCATCCTCCCTTAGGGGTGTCGTCTCAGTTTTCCTCTCTCTCTCTGTCTCTCTGGCAAGTGCACATACCCTACGGCAAAAACAGTTTAAAAAAATGCTGTTAACAAGAGTTGAGTCCAGAGATACAAGGAAGGGTTAGATTATACAGGGTATATATTTCTATATTATACAAAGAGCCAGAATTTATCATTGGGAAATGGGAACTAGTGAAGGTTTTTAAAAAAGAGACTACAGTATTATTTTACCAAGATTACTCTGACAGTGATGTGAAAAGTGAATTGGACTGTGCAAGATTAGGAAAAGAAGACCATTAAGGTCTCTAGGTCAAAGTTAAACGCATTCACCACTGCTGCATTCTACTGTAAAATAGCAGTAAAGAGATGTAAAAAAAAGAAGAAAAAAGTAACAGCACAAAACCATAAGGAGGACTGCAATGAGAAAGAAGACAATAACAACAGCTTATTAATCTCTGGCCAGGACCTAGAAAATTCTTCTCAAGAGAATTTGACCAGCTAAAGAAAAATAAAGTTCTCAATGAAAAGGACTAAATTATCCTATCATAAGTCAACAAGCCTTACCTATAAAACTTTTTAATGTATCATTCTTGATATAAATGGACAAACAAGAATCATCAGACATTTAAGGAAAACCTTTAAAATGAAAAAGACTAGAATGAAACAGCTAAAGAAAGCTGAAAGAAACAATACAGACAGAATAAAATATTTTAAAGAAATCATTAATAACCTCAGAGAAAGGATTCAGTATCCTGAAATAGCAGGATGCTATTAAAATGAACACACAGTCATGAAAACTGACAAGCTCTTAAAAAACAAAAAATATCGCAGAAAGCAAATATCAATAGAAATAATTGAATGAAAAACTGAGTATGTACCCCAAAAACCTAACAAAAACTTAAAGAAAAAATAAGAGAGAAAATAGACTTAGATCTGTCCAGGGCATCAAGCACTAGAATAAAAGAATTTCCAGAAAGAATAGAGATAACATAGGGAAAAGGGAAAGAAATTAGAAGAAACAGAATTGATAACAATCAGCCCAAACTGAAAGAAATTAGTTTCTTGACTCATCAATATCTGGCTCAAGGAATGATACAGACTCGCACCAAAGCAAACCATTTGAAATGTCATTATTCTGATGGAAAATATAAAAATCTTCCATAGGAAAATATAAAACAGGAGGCTGGATGGTGGCACAGTGGTACCACTCTGCAAGTCTGACACAAGTGAGAGAGTTCCAGGTTGCTTCTGGAGACCTCTTTGAATATGCTGGGTGTGTATGTGTGCATGATGGGGGCTGGCTGGAGTTGGGGGTAGATTATGGCATGAAGATTCTGTTAGCGATGCCGGTCTCTCTGTCTCTCACTCATGGAAGAGAGAGATAAATAAGCTTAAAAAAAAAGAAAACACAATAATGAATAGGTCACCCAATAGTTCAGGAATCAAAATAGCCCTCAAACATAGGAAAGAAAAACTTCAAAAGTTCAAGAGAGAACTATTTCCAAGAAGCAATTCAATACCCAAGATTATCAAGTGTAAGAGTAGAATAAATACCTTTTCAGACATTCAAGGTTCCAAAAAAAATGTAGTTCTCACACACTCTTTGGAAGCTACTAAAATATGTGCTGCACCAGAAACAAAAGAATAAATCAAGAAGCAGGAAATATAAGAGCCATGAAACTGGAGAGTCAACGAAGAAAGAAACAGAGAGAGTATATACAAGAATGCTGTAGAAAGGAGAAGATAGCTGAATAGCAGAATAAGAGCAACCATTCCAGATGGTAGAATAGAGATTATAGGAATCAAAGAGAGATGAATCCAAGATGAAATTGAAAGATTTAAGTTAAAGGCAGGGACTTAGAGAATAAATTACTGATAAGTATGTAGAAAACTAAGCAAATGGAGCCAGCCCATGACATGGTGGTTAAGGCAGCTGGATTCCACATGGCTGACTGTGTGGTTCCAGTCCCAGATCTGGCAGCTAGATAAATACTCCAGGTGCATGTGTGTATGTGTCCAAATCCAAAGAGAATAATATAGATGAAGGGATTGTGGTGTGGCCATCTCCCAAAGGGTGCTTTCTCACTTTCTCTGTCTGTCTGTCTCTCTCATGAATGCACATGCCCTCTGTTAATTTTTTAAAGGCAAATAACTAAATAAAATTCAAAAGATCCGAAACTTATAAAAGAAAGAAGACATAGTGTAGTATAATATATGACCAGCCTGTGAAAAATATTTATGCAGTCATAATCGTTTTTTTTTTTAATGCTGAAGGGCATGTACACACATGAGAGAGAGAGAGAGCACCTCCCAAAGGAGTCTGGTCATGTCACAACTCTTTTTCTGCCAATTCTGCATCCTGTCAGAATCTTGCCCAGCATGAATCCAACTAGGCCAGAATTCAAATCCTGGTCAGCAATGAAACTGGCTTCCTCACTATAGCATCTAACCACTGTGCTATGGATCTGGTCCTATAATTCAAATATTAAATCTTGCTACATGTGAATTCTATGATCTATGTATATTGGGAAGATAAAAAGAATGTGTGTGTGTGCATGTGTATGTGTATATACACCTCTCCCACACATATACACAATATAAAAAAGTTAAATATTCACCTCCAATTCCAAAAAGTCCATTACAGAGAAGGTCTAATATGGAAAAAAACTAAAAAGTATCAGTATAAGTAAATTTAGAGATATAAAAATAAGTAACTAAAAAAAAGCTAAAATAATTGAAATCAATTATCTCTGGCAAGTAGGAAATGGTGTATGGATCCAAGGAGCTGATATTTCTCAAAAATCTTAGGAAATTACTCTATTTCCAACGTGAGAGATGAAGGCCTGAAATAGGGATGGTGGGGATCTACCGAAAAGAAAGGATTCAAGAGCTACTTAGGAAATATAATCATTACTGAAGACAGTGTGGGAAGAGGGTGGGAGAAGGGAGAGAGTATGGGGAAAGAAATTAAGGAGCAAAATAGAGAGGCAAGACATTTATGGAACACAGAAATGACTATCTCTTGATGATAACATGTATCATATCTTAAACTGGACGGTTGTGAAGTGTACTCATGTTGGGTAAATCCACTTTACAAGCTCAGTGATGTATACTGATTGAATGTATAAATTGCATTAAGATAAAAGAAAATAAAATAAAAATAAAGACAGACTTTGTATGTCCCCACTCAATACATACCGATTGTCTGCACTCTATAGCAGAAACTGAAAGTTTGGAAGGTATAGAAGCAGAGTGGGCAAGGGTAGATAATAGAGAAATTAGGGATGGGATAATATCAGGGTAGGTAATAGAGGGAGGGAGAGAGGGGAACAGGGGAAGAAAAAAATATGTTTAATTGACAAAAATATGAAAAGCTTTTTGCTGATGATGACATATATAGTAAGGTCTTTATCTTGATTGATATGCATGATATTTGTGGGAAAAAAAACAATGTTGCACACTGTAAAGATAAATGTGATTAAATGTAAAATAAATAAGTAAATAAATAAATAAAAAGAAGTATAATCATAATTACTTACTGAAAAAAATTAAAATAATCTGCCTTAAATTCCTAAGTAAATAATAATAGTTATCTGAGAAAAAGGAAAGGGGTTACGGATTTAGGAGACCCAGGAGAGAGTGAAAATAATAAACCTAGTTTTAGATAAGTTTAATTTAGGGTGCCTTTGGGATATCTATGTGCAGATTTTGTTAAAATGGAGCTTTATGATGGATAGTAAAAGAACCATTAGTGAAATTGATGG